TAATTTAATTAAATTTATCTAATATTAATTAATTTGATAGATTAAGAATAATGTAATGATAATTAATATTATATTATAATTATAAAGTTGTGTAACTATATTACATGATCTATACTATAGATTATTTGTCTTGATAATTTCATCCAGTAACAGTGTAATTAATTGAGCCAGAATTTAACCAGAACAAAATCATTTAGCCAGGGCACAATTAATTGAGCCAGCTTGATATTAATTAAGCTGATTATCTCTAGTATGCATAATAAGCATTTTTGACAAATCTTGATGACTTCTTTCTTGGGAAAATTTATAAGTAACTAGGCTTGATGCAAATAATTGTAACGTTTGTTGTGATTCATTAACCTTCATATATTTTTTACATTTTGTATTTTTCATATGACGAATTAAGGTGCTAGTTCCCGTTATGTTATCATACTTTAAAACACTCTTACAGTATGTGCATTGGACATAATTTTCTAGTAAATTATATGGTATAAATATTAATTAAAATAATTTATAATAAAAAAAAATATTAAATAATGAAATTCAAAGTTTATTTACTATTCTGAGGATCATACTTAATAAAGTAACCTTCTTTAAAAATCTATAATTGTGACTTGCTTCTTTTACGTTTTTTATTCATAGTGGTTATTTCAGAATTTTCATTAATTATTTCAAGCTTTCATTAACAGTAGTTACTTTAGGGCTTTCATTAAAAATAGATATTTCAGGATTTTCATTAACAGTAATTATTTTGGGACCTTCATTAACAGTAGTTATTTTGGAACTTCCACTTTCACTATGGGCAGAATTGATACTTTGTATTTCTAGTTGTAATAGGTGAGAGTTGATGATAATCTAATAAGTCTAATTAGAACCGTAGTTCCTTTAGTGTTTTAATTATCAGCATATCATTATCCATTTTTTAGAAATGTCATATATGTTCACTTTGACTTATGTTCTTGCACAGATACACTTGCCTGGCTTCTGCTACTGGTGTACTATTATCTAATAATGAAGCACTTGAAGTTACAAGCAAGAATAATGAAGCACTTGAAGTTACAAGTGAAAATAACAAAGTACTTGTAAGAATAACGAAGCAATTGAGAACAAAGACTAAGTTGTATTATCATCTTATATAGTATTTTTGCATCATGTATTATATGCATCTATTTATATAAGGTAAGTATTTATCAAACATTCAAATCTAAAATTTATTAAAGGGTATTATTAAGTCCATTGGGCCTAGTTGGGCATATTTACAAAATTCAAACCCAATCCAATATTTAACAAGTCCAACCCAAAACCCGGCTCACATAATAATGGGTTCAAAAACATGAGTCCAAACTGAACCCAAGTCTAGTCCGGCCTGCAAATTTACAGGTTTAGCCCAGCCCATTCCGTACCCTAGATGAAATAGATAAATTAGAATATTTATTAAAACATTTTATAATTGCGTTTTTAATTTTATTATTTAAATTATACTTTATAAGTTTTATCAAGTTGATATATTCTTCATTTGGAAATTCTATAGCATTTTTTTCAAGTTGTTCATTAGGTTCTTCATAATTACTCTGTAGTCTTTCAGGTAAAAATTATTCAAAATTATCATAATCTTCTATATTTGACTTTTCAGATCGATCGAAATTATTTTGTGAATTATAATTTTTTAGAAAATTATTTAAAGTATCAGTATTTTCATAAGATGCAGGTGACATATTTTAATCTTTATACTCATTAGTTATAGATAGCAGACTTTCTTCCCAAACAATTTTGCAATTCTTCAATTCAATTAATTCGATTAGAATCTTTATTATCAAGTGACATATCATTTATATCATTATGAGTTTTATTAACATATTGAGTGTATACTTATCTATACGTGTTGCCCAAATCCCAAATCATTTGGGATTTGGGACGCCAAAATCCCATATTACTAATATTTGGGATTTGGGATTTGAGATTTCGGCAAAAAATACTAATCATAATTTGGGATTTGGGATTTGGGATTTTGGCATTTGGGAT